AACGCCGAGCTGCCGTATGGCTGTCATTTTGTTTCATGAAATGAAGAGTTTCTCGCTTCTCTTTCCATGCCTTCTAAGTCGATCACATTTCTCAATGAAAACTTGTTTTTAAGAAAAAAAAGAAAATCTTTTATGCTGTGATTTTTAATCTACAAATCGGCGACACAAGCGCACATCGCGCCGCCACTACATCCGGCGTCGGTGCCAGGCAGCAATAAAGAAGAAATTTCCTGTCTTGAAATGCGCGAGATTATTATAGCGTTTTATGTGCTATGTGGAGATAAGCGCGACCGATATGCTGATTTCATACACAGTGCCAAGCACGCCTTATTGCCGAGGAACGCATTCTTGGCGAGGAGCGCTTTATTGGTGACGAACGCGTTACTTTCTAGGAACGTTTTCCTTTTGAAGCTTTTATCCTAAAAACACCAAAATGGTAATTTCCATGGCAAAAAAGACCGACCAGCCAATTGCCTTGGCTTGTTTTGGTTATATGTATGTTAGCGTATGTTAGTGTCTTCCTTGAAGACCGGGAAGGAAATTGCGCTACCTTAGCTGCACTTTAGTTTCAATACCAAAAAGGCGACGCATGGTTGTAATAACTAGTTCTTTTAGGTTCCTTAGGCCGTACAGATTTAGTCAGCGTCCATAAAAACACAATCTTAGGGACCAACTTAATTCTCCAGTGACGCGAGTGTGCCTCTCTCGTAAGATCGACCCGTCTCCTGTCTGGAGCTCTAGGCTTCCGTACCATGACCTAGACGTGACGCCATTGAACGATTCTGGTGCATGTTCTTCTCCTTGCGGAAGCGCGGTAAGCGGGGCCATTTGGTATGACGAAATATAGTGAAGAGAACAGCGCTCAAAATGACTAAGACAGAGAAAAAGAACATGCACGACACACAAGCGCTGACTCGCCGCTGAATTTATACATATAAATTCAGATGCGAGACAGCGCTTGTGTGACGTGCTTGTTCCTTTACTCTTTCCTCGATTTTTTATGCGCTGTTTTGTATGTCACTTGTCCTTGCAATATGTATATTACACAAGGTAGGGACTCAGCTGCCAGGACACTACAATTGTCACTGATGTGATGCCAATGCATGGCGTGAATAGAGCTACGAGGGACAAAACATTTATAAATATCGTAGTGGTTCTAATGTGACAATTAAAGAAAACTTGTACCTATTGAGTTATACCATCACCACCCATAATAATAAAAGCCTGTTCACTAGACCTTTCACCTCCTCAGAATAAGATCGAAGGAGGAATAGGCTGGTAGGAAGCGAGTGCTGTGAGAGCGTTCGGCCGAGCCTCGTGTCAAATCAACAAGTCGAACGACGCTCGGCATAGAACTCGGGTTCAAGTGCCGAGTTGGCGCCATCCGACCGTCATGACGTTTCATGCAGAAAGAGGAGGTCGTTCGCAGGCCTTGATTATATTAGGTGATGTTGACTAGGCCAACTGAAACAACTCGAATATTGCAAAGGTTCAGATCATTTAGAAACAAAATAATGTCACGATGTTTTGTAAAAAAAAAAAACTGGCACTTGATCGAGTTATGCCTCTGAAACATTCCAAGAAAGTGATTTTTTTTGTTTTGTCTTTTTCACGGAGGAACATTTGCCCCGAATCTCATTTGTTTGCCGCCACACGAGAGCCTTTAAATACATGCATGGAAATGGCTTTCATTACTGATTGACTTTGGGAAGCTTATTGCAGTTTTTCTCTGTGTAATATCTACAGCAGAGACGTAATGAGGAACAGGAACGTTAAGTTGTAACAACAGAAGTACAAACGAAAGATTTTATGCACACTACAAACTACAAACAAAACTTCAATCCTTCTTTTTTAACCATGAAAGTAAAAAACAAAAACACCACGCATCGTTCAACGTTGAGTTTCCGCCTAAATGTTGCACTGTACTTCGTTTCACCTTATATCCGAGCGCGGACGATGTTATGAGCCGAAGGGCCAATCAAACAGCGCAAAAAGCGAAACGTCATGGCGTGCTCTCTGCGCTTGATAGGACTAGCCAGCAGAGGAGCACGCACAGAGAGACGGCGCATACCGGCTGGCCCTATCAACTGGAGAGAGTACGCCATGACGTTGTCCTTCTTTGGCTGTTTGATTGACACTTCGGCTCTTAATATCGGCCGCGCTCGGACGTAAGCTGAAATGAAGTATAGCGTTTCAGACATGATACAAACGTTAAAGATCTATACCGCGATTTTATTTAAAATTTATGTGATTTTATGAATACCTGAAGTAACGTGAATATCTTACCTATTCAAAAACTATGAATGAGTCAGTTAAATTTCTAATGCATTTCACAAAAGTACATTACAAACTCAATTGAAACTCATTGATATTTTTATAAAAGTATAACCAAACATTAATGTAGACAGTAAGGGAAACAAAAAAGGCCCGCACGTGCTTTTGTGGAACATGTTTTTGATGGAATATTGCTTGCTGGGTATTCTTCGATAAAAATGACCACTCCTAAATGGCAAGATCTTGGAGAAAATTCACAATAGAAATAGTCGGACACTATTTTCTATTTCTGTGTGTGTGTGGGGGGGGGGGGCGAGGGGGGGGGGGGACATCCCCGGGTTCTTGAAAATTTGTTAATTTTTTACCGATGAAAATAGTTGATCGCATGGGGATTGCGAACATTACCATGATTGCTCTTTTTAGGCGCGTTGTACCGTATACTTCGGCAAGAACATCACACCTTTGAGTGCATAGGAACGCAATGCAGCAATTACGGTTTCAAAATGACGCCTGACGGCGGCCCCCTGGTGCCTGCTCCTAGGCGCAAAAAGAGTGGCGCGTCACCATCTTCAAATATATATTTATAGACAAATCGGCCACCCTTAAAAGTATTTTCGAGATTTCTTTTTGATTTTTTATGACGTTTAGAGTTCATAGGTTCAGTTATCACAATAAATAGACGATCTCAGAATCCCTGTGAGTGCTCGTGAGCTTCTCATTATGGCTGCGCGGCCAATTAAATACGGGTCTCTATCGATACGAACATCGAAGAACGAGTCCCGAAGTCGGAAGCGTAAAAAGAGTAAGCGACACCTCGAATTTCTTAAAAAAATTGTTTAGAGCAATATCGACGGTGCGTGATTTATTTTAAATTTTGTGCGCGAAGTCCTTGACATCACGAAATGGTCCTTCGCTCTCTCGACCTCAACGTGATGGCCATGTCGATTCACCTCTCTTCCACGAGCCCGGAATGACGATAGAAAGAACAAAAGGAAAGGAGGTGACTGCCGACTAAAGGCCGGTTCAGACACTTGCGTTTGAGTGCGTTTGACTGCGGTGCGTCGAGAAGCGAAAGCGAGTCACCGGCACATCTGTGCTTCGTATGAAGCGTGGAATCCAAATCAAGGAATCATCTTGGCACGCGATATAAGCAGCAGGGATGTCCTGGTTTCTCGCAGTCCAAACGCAGTCGAACGCAGTCAAACTCTACTGTCTGAACCAGTTTAAGTCCCGTCTCGCGCCGTCAATTTCGCTCCAATAAAAAAAAAAATCGCGTAAAACTAATTCTCTGGCACGCGTGTCCCGACCAAACTGCTTAAAAAAACTTTTTTTCTTATTTTAGGGTCTCCTTAATCTTGTTAGAGAGTGTAGTCACTGTCAGCTCCACCGCGATTATATTATTCTCGCTGCAAACCAGCCAATGATATTGTAATATGAGCGGATAAAAGCGGCGACAAAGCAGTCACGAAGCCTTGACATGGTGAGCCAAGCCCTGCCTTTTCCTTTTTTTTAGGCTGATGGTCACTACGTTCACCAATTGCCTACACTCTAAAAAATGTCTGTGCGTCTACTTTCACGCACACAACTCGGAGAGCCAATCGCCGCAACTTACGGAGGAAGCTCAGCGAATGACGATGGCAAAACATATGTTTAGACCAAAAAACGCAGTCTGAGTTGTGACATTAAGCAATGCAAGCGTGGCGTTTTGCATTGCGTAATATCACAACTCAGTCTGCGTGTTTTGTCCAAACAGATGTTTCCGCATCGTCATTCGCTGAGCTGCCTCCGTAAGTTGCGGCGATTTGCTCTCCGTGTCGTGTGCGTGAAAGTAGGCGCACAGACATTTTTTAGAGTGTGCGAAACGCAGGGCTAATAACATAACACTCACATTTACTGCCTCGTGATTGGCTGTTCGGTGTTCGTATCGGCTCACCTGGTAATCTGTTTCGCTGTGGAGCGATAATGAGATACTCTGGAGACATGCCCTGCATTTCTCAGACATCCAGAAGCTATTAGCGGGGAGATGTTCTAGTGGTGCCCTCTATGGTTTCCTTTCGTGACGTCATTACCTTGCGGACAGCAAATTCGATGGTGTTTGCAATAAGCATGGGGGAGGCTTGAAATCATTGCGCTCTCAAAGCAACACTGCCAACACCGTCAAAATTAAAGTTCTCACATGCCTTTTATTTCTGTCAACGGGAAAACCTTTGCTGACGTCATAGTCAGCATTCGGCCAATCCTGTAATGCCGACCACAGCGACGCTTTCGATCGCGCACGTCGCCAATAGACCCTATAACTGCTTGCAAACACAAGCCGTCTCTTGGTTCTCGACGGACTACCGGTCACCCCGTTTCAACAGTACTTCTCAGCCTGTTGATGCTGACGCCAAAATTTCTGGGACGGTGAAGTTCTACGAAAATCTTGAGGTTGAGGATTTTGGAAGGACCTTTTGTTGCATAATTTAAGATATAAAAAGGGTTCGTTAGTCTTACCGGAACAAAAAAAAAGTTTTATCCAACCAGATTTGGCGCTAACCGGTCCTTTAGCTAATCACCTGAGGAACTGGTCATAAAATATGTCGTGAAAATGACAAGAAGCTATGCTATTGTTGCGATTGTTTTTCCTCTCGTTTGACCAAAAGTTCGCGGGTACGTAATTTGGCAAGGGCAAGTCCTTCCAGCGCTTAAAAAAAGGGTATATAAAATGCCCCACGACATTTATGCAGGACGAATACGAGGACCTCACCCCAGAGCAGAACCGAAGCAGCCGACCATGCAGAACCACGGGGTGTCGCTGGTTAGCGACCTATTTCCGTGCTAACGCGAGGGCGCCTTCCCCGTGCGACGACTTTTACGGCTAAGTCTGCAGCGACCGTCAAAGATCTCTGTACCAGGACGGCGTCTCCAGACTGATGCGCGCCATGGCCCCGCACCTCGCTGGGTCCAGGGACGGCGAACCATTGGCCCACATCTCGGTCTTCAACCACTGCATCAACGGCACAGCCGTACATTTCGAACCGTCCGCTGTGATGTACGAATTTCACAATCACATATCTTAATTTTTATGCTTAAGATTTTGTGTTTTTATTCAAGTTCGAAGGGTTTCCTTGATATTTATATTTGTTCCTGCCGACTTGGGGTTCCAGGTTACCACGTTCGGTGTAATAAGAAACTTATATGTTTTCCGGTAATTATGTTGAAGAAAATGGGACACAGGAATGGGATTCCCCAACCTCCCGGGAAAATGCGTGTAACCCTCATGCTTAAAAAAAAAATGTCCCAAGGCACCGACAAAACAACGGAAGCGATGTGAGGGGTGCCGAAGTAAGGAGCAGCAACGCGGAAAGTTCCATCTGGGCAGATTCAGGTTCACAAAAAATAAAACTGTGGATAAAATGTTTTTTTTTTTTTCCTGTGTAGCTTGGGTTCTCGATATTCAAGGATAGCTTCAGTTTAAGGCCTTTTTTATTTTGCCGATCTGCCAAGGATGTCAACTAGTTGCCGAAAACACGGAAGCCTGGCAATGTGCCGCATACGTGATTTATGCTAGAATATAATATGAACAAAGAGTGTCGTGAACTATAACGAAAACAAAACTGTCTTAATTCACAGTTACGACAACAAGTAGAACATGACGCTCCCTTTACAATAATAATAATTTTATTTCAGAACCAACACCCAAACTCTTCTCGAGAAGAAAACAGAAAACGAACAGTAATCAGTTAGCTTCAACCGGCTGTAACGCAGTAACGATATTCAGCTCTCTGTCTTGGCGCGCATTATTTATGCAACCATAGCCTCCACTATAATCACAAAACCTGGCAGTTCGACGACGGAGCCATAGAGCGCCCGGTCGCAGATTTGGAGCGCGAGGATCTGGTAGCACAGAGCATTTTCAGGGAACCTGGTCGTGAGCGCACAGATTTTGAGCGGTGGTGACCCGAAACATGGTTTTCAAACCCGACGAGAAACAAAGTGGTAGCAAAAGCGGACATTCCATCGCTCGGGAGAGCTGTGTTTCAGCGATTCGCCGCAGCGGGGCACACGTTACATGACTCTCCTCTGATCCGTTGTCTGCCGCTCTACCTTTTCACTTTCGGCGGCCACGCCTCGTTGCGATCTGCCAGGCTTTGTCAGTATAGAGGAGGCTATAATGCAACGCTAAAAGAAAAGGTAACTTTTTTTTTTCCCGTAGCCAAGGGCCGGTTTTTTTCAGAACAGCGTCTCAGCTGAGTTTGAATGAAAGGAAGCATTGTAAAGAGGGCGCTCGGGCGTCTTGAGACGCGGTTTGAATCCCGCTCAGCTCATGCGCTGACTCTGGCAGTGTTTTCTTCCAGTCTCAGCTCAGACGCTGTTTCTAGAAAGCCGGCCCTGGTTTTCTGCAAACTCAGGGTCAATATATTAGGGAGTGTAGATTGAATGAAGCGCGTTCCTTCGTCTGGGTAAGTGTTCGCCGAGTTTCTCTGAAGTTCATAATATAAATTGTTTGACGTTTTACGTGACTTGCACGCGAGGTCATTGCACAATATTTGTGCTAATCTGTGTTGGTTCCTGCCAAGAAAATTGTATTTAGTGCTGCCAAATGTGTGATGCATAAAGTACGCGCTCAAAACCGAGGCTTCCGCAAGGGCCTCTGGTGTGGCGTCGATGCATGTCCTACATAAACTCTCAAGAAGTCTGTAAGTTCACTTTTCTGCACAACACGAATGAACCCAACCCAAGCTTGCAACAGAAAGATGTGGGCGAGTGATGTACCAAAGATAATAATTAGACGAAAATTAATGTACGCATGTGCAAAGAACATACCGTTTAACTCTGTGCACATCGCCTTTTTTAGGTCTCCGATCGTATTCTAAACGTCGTCATTGGTTTTACCGGGATCGGTTATCTCTGTGCTCTGTAAGAAAGTTAACACACAGAATGATGATGATGATGATGATGAATAAACCTTTATTTATTGAGCATGAGGAGCAGATGTTAGGGCACCCTCCCGGTGGAGGGCATCCTTAGTCCGGGTTACCCTGGCTGCGGCTGGCTATCCGGGCCCTTGTCACCAGGTCTTGCTGGATCCCAGGGTACGGGCTGGTCAGACAGGCCATCCACTGCTCGAAGGATGGGGTGGGTTTGGGAGTTAAGTCCGGGGTTCGTTGGCATTCCCATACCTGATGGTAAAGGTTGCGGGAGAAGGACAAAAATTACAGGTGGCGGGGTATTGAGCGGGATAGATGGCGTGAAGAAGGGTGCTGCGGGGATTTGTGTTGGTCTACAGTCTTCGGAGGGTGCTGGCTTCATCTCTTGATAGTCTTGGGTGCGGTGCCGGGTATTTTCATCGGTCGTGACGGTAGTGGGCTAGTATGTCGGCATACGTGATGAGCAGGGCGGTCGTGGGGGCAACAAGTGAGGTTGTTCCCTCTTGGGTAATGGCCCAAGAGGAGCTTCTTTGAGTACAGGAATGAGAATAATGCGAAGCAACCATTATTTATTAAAAAAACGGTCTACCTTTTTATGAACGAAGCTGTGTGTGTGTCTACTTACCCGTGGAACATGCAGAGTCCAATAAAATATTTACGAAATAATTCGGCGAATCGCAAAGCAAAAATAACGTCTAAAACTTTTTAAATAAGTGACCAATGCAAATTTTATTTCTGCGCTTCAATGATATCGGTGCCTCGACATTCGCCCTGAGCTCTTCCATAATTCGCATGGCTCTACTTGAGTGCTGCAGAAAAATACACGCGCAGGCATTCTTCATGAAGAGGTTGACATATTTTGGAATAGATAGGGTAATTTTTCCCAATTTTATACTTCAACAAACAGCAGTATTGGATAATTGCTCCAGGACACATCATTTGGCTCTCTTTCAGTGACTTGACTGAGGGAGCAAGCTGTCCGGCACGGATTCCTCCGGGTCCACGACGTGCATCAGACTCTTTCTTTCGCAACAATCCAAATGCCACAGTCGCTGATTTTAGATACTTCATTAGAAGGTATATTCTAACGAGTCATGTTCAGAACTCTGCAACGCTAGTTACTGTTTACAAGATTGTTATGAACGCTACCACCAAAAAGCTTATTTCCCGGTCAAGGTGTTTCAGCTGTTTTCACGACGAAGCGAACCGCTGCCCCACATTTAGTCTCTAGATAAGTTTTTTTTTTTTAACATTTCGTTTCAGGTTTAGTCTTTCTAGACTTATCGGCTTAAATTTATGCATGCTCGTAATCGAGGCTTCTAGACTTGAATTTATGCATGCTTTAATCAAGAATATTTCATTTGTTTAACTCATGTTTTGGTTTCTTTAGCTACCAACCAACCCGTCGTACGAATAGCCGACAGCTCCAGGAATGCTACACAGCTCGTTACGGAGCGTGCCATAGTGAAACTTTAGATTCTCCTACATGTTTTCTAATCTAATCTTAACGTGAACTGCAGCAAAACTGCCGGATACACGAGCTCGTAGCTCTATAGTCTCTGACAGGGCAAGAACGACAGGGCGTCCCATCTAAATACAATCCTGAGGCACGGATTCATTGCATTCCGCTACGTTTGACCGCGCGTGCATGGTAGAAGTTCACGAGACACCAGCATGTTATCGCATGAAGGTAACTCTTGCTGCAGGCGGAATACTGAAAGATTTTTCTGCCCTCCTTTTCCTGAAAGAACGGCAGGGAGTCTATTTTGGAGACCGGGCCGCCGCCACTACCAGGAGGCCTTCCTTCGTGCTTTGGTTGCGCGTGCGCGCTCGGAGCTCACGAGACAACAATGTGTTGTCGAAGGCAACAGGAAGCTAGCACTGGAGGCAGGACAACCCGCCGAAAAAAATTCCGAGACATATTCCTCCTGCCGCTGAATATAATAGTTCCAAGACCTAGGCTAGCAATAGCGCAGAAAGTATACACATCCAACAGTTATGAGTTCTGAGCAGCAGCTTTCCCCTCAGTCCACGTTGAGATCAATAGAAGTAAAGACGTTTGTAAAACTCCATGATTCCAAGGACACAACGCGAGAAGCACCATGTGGTCAATCGATGTCCTGTGAAGTTTCTTGCATTCATAATGTCTGCTGCTTTCGTTCGTCCATTTCAAAGCTATCTTCTAAAATGAGTGTGTGAAAATGCATATCGGCGCTACCGAAGACGTGTATTCGCTGCACGGCCTTGGATATTTTTCGCCCTGAAGTCTTGGAGTTTATGCTTGAGAACTACACAACATCTCGCAGTGTTTGGACCGATTAGAACACATAATTACGTTTAAAGAATAAGCTGAAGCGCTCATAGTTTCGAAAAATGAGTCCTGAAAAGGTGGCTTGATTTACATTGTTCAGTTCCTTTGTTCAGAATGACATTCAATTTTTTTAAACTTTTTTTTTGCTCGGTCATCATCATCTGGCTTAATCACCCTGTTGTCTTTCTTCTGGTGGTCAACGCCGTTAATCTGATGAATTGTATATTATTTTATTATCGTGAATGCAAACTTAAGGAACGCAATACGCGCGTTTTTATCTTCAAGCTCTTTGCATCGGGACTTGTACACCACTTTTTTATCGAGTAATGGCGCCATTTCATTAGTTGAGGAGCGGTTAGATGGTCGGAACCCTTATAAAAATAATCAATGAGTTTTAATTAAGTTTCTTATGTAGTCTGTAAACGCAAAATAAAACTCAATTGAAACACATTAATAATATTTTTAAGGGAACTCGCCGCACGCCCTGCGGCCTTCAAATTGTCAGCGACATACGCTCACAATCATTGATCTCATCATTCCTCCGCAGAATTGCGCCCGGAGCGCGAATGGACAACACAATCATCGAAGAGGAGCAAGCCACCAGTTCGCTTCCAGCGAAGTGGTTGTCCGCGATTGCCCTCTGGGTGGTTCGCTCTGCGAGATGTCACTTGGAGTTCTCTCTGCGGAGAGCTCCCGAGAAAGGACGCCTTTACGAAGACCTATGGCAACTGCTCTACTTTGCACCCCTCATGGGTTCTCAGGTAAAATGAGCAGATTAATGCTCTTAATCACATCCTATTTGAAGCCGGAATTGAGCTGTATTGTGATATACCTCGATTTAAGTTATTGAACTGGAAGATAACGTCACAGATCGAGCTGTACATTAACACTTGAGCAGGTTGCGAAATTTAACCCCCGTGTGTAGACCGCCAGGCGCTGTGGATGTTTCATTTTCTCGAGGAGGCTGGCGGGCGAACCTGCCGCCAGAGCTTTCCGTTCTAGCAGCTAGGTGCCGTCGATTTAGCTGGAATGGCCAATACGCGAGAAACCAACATATAAACGCACCAAAACTGATACATAAAAGCATTATTTCACACATAAGAAGAAAGAGAAAGACTGAATTAAAAATATACTATTTTTTTGCATAAAAATTTTGAATGTGCTTCTGTAAGTCCTTCTTTCCGGTTTCCATGCAATGGATACACTCGTGCCTCTAAAATAGCATATACAGTTTTCATACTTTCAGATTATTGCCCTATATTCCAATTATTTGTCGCACACGTGGTTCAGCCTTGACATGGGAGCGGCCCGATTTTACACCTGGTATTACTCAAGGGAGCGAGACACCATCGGGACGACGAAGCAATCGACGATTTTGATTTTTTTTTCTTCTACAATTTAAATTTTGTAATAGAAACTACAAGTTGGTACAAACGTGCTGACTCGGGGCACTCTCTAATACTCTTTATACGCATCTGTACACTTTTTAACTAAATTGGAAACGTCATGCAAACAATCGCAGCAAACATTAAAATACTGCGCTCCAATATATGTGAAGTGCTCAAGGGCAAAGGCGATGGCGTTTCACTGGCCGAGCGTCCCCGCGGACATCGCACTGTTTCAATTTCAGTTGTAGCGTCAGCTTCGTCATTCACTGTTGTCTTATTGTTCACCGTGATTGGCTGTCTTTGTATCATGAAGAAAAGTGAACCCATATACTTTGTTTAGAGTGTGAGAAGCACATTGCACGTCGTTTTATTGTTCGCCGTTGTCGGCGGTTCTTCTGTTATGCAGGGAAGGTTACTCTTAGCCCTTGTTTAATGTGTGAGCAGCACACTGGACGTGGTTCTGTTGTTCGCATCATTGCCTGTTTTTGTGCTATGGAAGAAAGGGTATTCACGGGGTTTGCTTAGAATGTGTGCAGCGCGTTCCACGTCGTTTTATTGTTCTCAGTGGTCGGCTGCTTCTGTACTATGCAGAAAAACCTCCCACAGGCTTTGCGCAGAGTCTATGCAGCATATTGCACGTCGTTCTCTTGAACGTCGTTATTGACTGTTTTGTGTTATGCAGAAAGGCACGCTCAGAGACTTTGTTTAGTGTGCGTGCACCTAGTTACACGTCGTTTTTTTGTACGTCGTGATCTGCATCTGCTGCTTTATGGAGGTAAGGTAACTTACAGGCTGTGTTTAGAGTGTGTGCAGCACATTTCATGTCGTTCTATTATTCGCCATGATCGGCTCTTTTTTGTTATATGCAGGAAAGGGAACCCGCAGCCTTTGTATAGATTATGTGCAGCACACTGCACATCGTTCTTTTTCTGGCCCTGGTCGGCTGTTCGTGTTTTAAGTTTTTGTTTAGAGTGTGCGCCACATTGCACGTTGTTCTATTGTTCGCCATGATTGACTGTTCTGTGTTGTGCAGAAAAGTAAACTCAAGAACTTTGTTTAGAGTGTATGCAGCACATTGCACGTCGTTCTATTGTTCACCATTATCGGCTGTTTCTTTATTAAGCAAAAAAGAAAGCTCAAAGCCTTTATGTATAGAGTGTGTGCAGCCATTGCGTCCTCTATACTCACAAAGCACGGCAGTTCGACGAGGGAGCCATAGAACGCTCAACCGCAGATTTGGAGCTCAAGGATATGGTAGCACAGAGTATTTCTCGGTGAATTTGTTGTCAGCGCACAGCTTTTGCAGCAGCCAGGACCCGAAACATGGTTTCGAAACCGGACGAGAAAAAAAGCGGTAGCTTTGCAGTGGCGAGGACCCGACACATGGTTGTCAAACCCGACGAGAAAGGAAGCGTTAGCCCGAGGAACGCGAAGAGCACGAGCGGAAATTCCATCTCTTGGGCAAGTGTGTTTCGGCGTCTCGCCGCAGCGGGGAGCCCGCTGCATGCCTCTCCTCTTGTCTTTTGTCTGACGCTCTACTTTTTCACTTTCAGCGGCCCCGTCTTGTGGCGATCTGCCAGGTTTTGCCAGTATAGAGGAGGCTACGGTGCAGCACATATCTCCTCCTTCTATTTTTCGCCTTGATTGGCTGTTTCTGTGCTATGCCGGAAATGAAACTGACAAGCTTTGTTTAAAGTGCGTGCAGCACATATCACGTCCCTCTCGTCTTCGGCGTGATCCAGTTTTTTTTTTTTTTTTTTTTTTTTACGCAGGAACATGAACTTACAGGCACTGTTTAGATCGTGTCGAACACGTTGCACGTTGTTGGGTTGTCATGCATGAGCGCAGCAGGAACGCGCGATTGTTGATAGCCGCCGCGCCAAAAGCGATATCTTCGGCATCGCACTTTTTCTTTCATATGTTCTTGGCAGCAGCCGATAAAAGTCGGTCGCGCCGCCGCCGGTTTTGTTCTTCGGTTTTCGTCTGTCGGCAAGCTTGCCTGGATTAAAAAGTCCGTCTGCCCTGCTCCCGGTGTCGTCTTCTCGCCGTGGCCTGGAGTCCTGCTCGGCCAAACGCAACAGCTGGTGGCAGCGGTGGGATGGCAGATCTACGGGAGCGCTACGGCAGCGGTCGGCGAGGCTTTGGCTCTTGCTTTTTCTGGTACGCCGAGTGTTGTAATTTTCGTGTTGAAGCGAAAATAGGAAAGGCGACAGAAACGGGACTTTGACATTGTACCTGGCAGAAATGGATTTGGATAGCCTGCTTAAATTAGAGTTGTTAGCCGTAGCTGAAGAGCTCGGTTTAGATGAAAGCAAGGCAATGCGAAAGCCAGACATAGTCAAAACAATTTTGGGCTGCGGAGCCGGGGATGACGAAATTGCCGAAGCTGTCGATGAGGCAAAGAAACGACGCCTAGAGGAAGAAAGAGACGAGCAACTAAAACAACAGCAACTCGAACAGCTAAAGCTGACTTTGGAAATGACCGCTGTTGGAGTCGCGAAAGCAGTTAACTATGACATGAGAAGTTTTCTTCAGCCCTTTTCTGTTGGGAGCGAGTTGGGATTCTTCTTAACCAACTTCGAGCGCACATGTGTCAGGATGGATTTCGAAGAGTCGTCTTGGCGTCAGAGGCTTCTGAGCGTGTTGCCGGCCGAAGCAGCTGATGTACTGGCAAGGTTACTGCCAGAAGAGACCGAAAATTACGCGGTAGTGAAGGGTGCTTTGTTGAGAAAATATAAGCTGTCACCCGAAGCTTTCCGTTTGAAATTTCAAGAAGCCACGAAAGGCCCACAAGAGAGCTACTCGGAGTTCGCATATAAGCTAGGTAGTTTTCTGGAAAACTGGCTCAAAGGAGCTCGGGCGTATGAGGACAAAGCGAAGATGTTTGAGCAATTTTGCTTAGAGCAGTTCTATCGTACGTTGCCTGAAAAGCTCAGAGAATGGTTTCAGGATCGACCAGACGTAGGAACAGTGCGAAAAGCAGCAGAATATGCAGATGAGTACTGTGCAAAGAGGGGATCAAGTTGCGACCTAGGGAAGACTGACCGGCCTCCGGGGGCTTCGTTTGGGGGAACTAAAGGATGGCGCTCGTCGGAAAAGAACGCGAACAAGCCAGTTCCTAAAGACGAGTCCCCCGAAACACGCATGAAGAAGTCGTTCGAAGCACGGAAGCAAATAGTATGCTTCCGGTGCCAAAAGCCAGGACACGTGGCTGCTGGATGTCGTGTCCCAAAGGTCTCCCCAGTCCAGCTCGTTCTCGAAAAGGATGAAGACGTGTTAGGTCCATACCTTTACGACATGGACGTAAACGGTAAGACTTGCAAGGTCTTACGGGACACCGGTGCGACCTACGGCGTCGTGCACACCCTTCTTTCGTGAACGAGAACGACTTCACAGGCGACTTCGTGTGCCTGAGGTAGGCTCTGGAAGGAGGTACTGTCAGCCTACCTGTTGCAAAAGTAATCCTGAGAGGCACCTTTGGAGAGTTGGAAACCGAGGCCGCAGTCTCGGACAACGTCTTGCCGAGATGCCCGTACCTTTTGTCTAACAGAACCGTAAAGGAACTGCTTAAGTCAGGGATAACGCATGACATGAACCCGGTCATGGTTGTCACGAGATCGATTACAAAGAAAAGCTGCGAAAAAAGTGTAGAGCAGGCTGTAGCTGCGCAAGCCAGTGCAGCAGATGACTCGCACCGTCCCGTCGAAAATGACGAGCGTCGCGCTTTAGATGAGCCAGACCGTGACGAGTAAAAAGTGGACGATGAATTGACGTTCATCCCTCCGACGAGCAGTGAATTTAAGGCGCTCGCCGCAATAGATAGGGCTACCTTGATTGTAGAGCAGAAGAGTGATAACATATTGATAAAATGTTGGGAGAGCATTCAAAACCCTAATTCGAGCAGCTCAAGGTTCTTTGAAAAGAACGGAATACTTTACCGCGAGTTTTGTGGAAAGGAAGGGATGAACGTCGACCAAATAGTCGTTCCTCAGTACCGAGAAAACCTTTTGGGACTGTCACACCGGGTGGGTTGGTAGGGCCACCTAGGTATCAACAAGACCAAGGCAAGGCTCCTAAGCGAGTACTACTGGCCAAGTTGTTTTAAAGATGACGAACATTTCGTTCGGAGCTGTGACATCTGTCAGCGGACGGGTCGACTTAAGGAAAAACGCATCTGACAGCGGTCCCAATTATTAGCGAACCTGAGGAAGTAGCAGTCAGCCTTCCAAAGATCCCACGAGATTTAACCTCCTTCACTCCAGAGGAGAGCCTGGAAACCGTGGTTCAGCCACCCACCTTAAGCGAAAATCAGAGTAAAGACTTGCTAGCCTTAATAACCGAGTATCAGGAATTGTTTTCGAAAGTCCCAGGTCGAACCAGTTTAATGACCCATGACATAGAGTTGACTTCGAGTGACACCAAGACGTGCAAAGCTTACCGGTACTCGCCTCGACAAGAAAAACTGATGAAGGAAGCTGTTGAACAGATGCTCGCTCTTAAGCTAATTGAGCCAGGCGAGGGTGACTTTGTACCTCCGATGATAATCGTGGAAGCTAACGGCAAGGAACCACGGCCTTGCGTTGACTACCGTAAGTTAAACGGAGTGACCGCCACGAGGGTTTTTCCCATTCCGCACGTTGAAAAGTGTGCCTCGAAAAAGTGTGCCAGGCAAAGGCCATATCCACTCTAGATCTTGTTCGTGGATATTGGCAAGTATCGCTCACCGAGCGTGCAAGTAGTCTTGCCGCTTTCGTGACCCCTTTTGGCGCTTTTCGGCCTTTGGTCCTTAGCTTTGGCCTTAAAAATTCTCCTTTCGCATTCTCTAGGTTGATGAACGAAGTCCTTGCAGGGTTGGAAAGTTTTGCTCTACCATATTTAGACGACATTGCAATCTTTTCTGACACCTGGTCCGAACACTTGGACCATCTACGAGAAGTATTTTCGAGACATCGCCAGGCGGGACTAACTCTGAAAGCACAGAAGTGCAAGTTTGGTCGCTCAGAGGTAGATTACCTCGGACAAACCGTAGGCCAAGGACACCGAAGCCCGTTGGAAGCAAAGGTACTGGCGATCAAGGAGTTTACACGTCCAGAAACAAAAATGCAGATTCGTACGTTTTTGGGCTTAATTGGGTATTACCAACACTACATCAAGGGGTTCTCCAAGCTGGCTAGTCCACTTACTGATCCGTTGAAAAAGAACGCGCCTTTTTCGCGTAAACAGGGACGAAGAGAAGCAGGCATCTTTTGACGCCCTTAAAAGCATCTTGACGAGTAAGCCCGTCTCGGCAAGCCCGGACCACTCGAAACCTTTCCTCGTGCAGTGTGACGCCAGCGAAAAGGGGCTGGGGGTAGTCCTGAGCCAAGAAAGCGCAGACGGGGGAGAGCACCCGATCCTGTACGTGAGCAGGAAATTAAGAGCTCGAGAGCAGGCGTACAGCACAATTGAAAGAATGCGCTTGCCTTGTGTGGGCGGTCGAAAAACTTTCATGTTACTTGTCGGGGTCGCCATTTGTTTTCATCGCAGACCACCGACCGCTAATGTGGCTCCAACAGATGTCGAACAAGAATGGTAGATTGCTCCGTTGGAGTCTAAGTCTGCAACCGTACGTGTTCACTGTTAAAGGGTAACTGCAAAGAAAAAAAAGTTTTTTTTTAAATAGCCTAATTGGGACAAGCATGTCAAAAAACAATTTTTTCGCGAGAAAAAACATTTTTTACAGCAATATTTATTGCGTGAGACTCATTTTAGTTTGCGGCTATTTCGTCCGTTTTAAATCGCGCGCCACGAAGTTGTGATTATGTGACGTCAATCCCAAAAGGTTCTCATTGGCTAAGAGTTGGATTGACAGCTTAGATCTTGGTTGTTAAACCTTTGTTATATGTTGCAATTTCCTTTTGAGCTGCATATTTTTACGTTTAAAGAATAACCCATGTGATGAGAGTTATTATTCTTTACAATAGGTTAATAAGACGGGCACTTCCGTTTGGATTCATACAAACAAAACTTCGCCATTCTTTCATGGCCGCTGAAGTCTGCTCCCGCCTGTCTCGCCTACCTCGACTAATCGTTTAGCCGAAGTGATCAGTGTTTCGTCGTTTCGTGCTGACCCAGGTGCTTGAGTGAGACTTCTTGAAGTGAAGTAGTGTGTGTTTAGCAGCTGTCGCAGGTGTTAGTGATAGGAAGCGACGCGACGCTTTCATAGCGCGGTTCTTTCGTTTTCCTCTTCGCTTGCTTAGCGTGCCTTATTTATTTAATTTTTTTTTGGCTTGTTTGCGCGTGCAAATGCTGACTTTTCGGAGATGTCAGATGCGTGATCCCGACAGTGAGCCTTCCAGCAGCCATGTCGCCCCGAAAGGAATGCTATTTGGCTGGAGGCAATCGGGCGTTCGCGTAGCGACCAACGTGTCTAGTTACGTTCTCGTCATATCGCTCTGGAGGCCGCCGAGATTCGCCCCGTGTGCACCTAACGTCCGCGACTAGACAGAAAATAAAAAAGCACTATGTCCACTACGTAAAAATGGTCTCAGTTCATGCATTTGTAGGCAGGTACGAAATCGTGCCCAAATTTATTCACACCGTACGATGCAACACGTCGCTGTGCAAACGCAGTCCAACACGAAGCATAAAAACGGCAGATTTAGGACAACAATTCGGAGTCCATTGTTCAATTAAAACGACGTAATTTTGTTGAAAACGCCCGCAGCTTTTTACTCACGGTATGCGTCGGGAAACTTCCACATTTCTAACAGAACGAGGCAGATTTACTTTTAAAAACGCTCCCAGCGTCCTCCCGGACCAGTTTGACTGGATCAGCTGACGACGACGGGACTTAACTGGTTGAACGTCAACCCCACAACAACCAACCAATTTGCGCTCCGTGTTAGCACCGCATTACACACACCACGAACGTTTCAGCTCTGTCGCATCGCCGTGTTGCACCAAACAGAACGAGATCGCCGAAACCAACGCAGCGCTGTCGTGAACCTTGGCTTGTGGTTGCGCACTCGTGGATTCTGTGACTCCCTTCGCTTTCAAAGCGCGCACGACGATTACGAACGATACTTTCCGTCTTACGGGAACATCACAGGGGGACTTCTCCGGTCACGTCTTCGCTACATGTGCTCGCAAACCGCGTCAAACCAAAACAATACCTCGGCCTGGCGTAGTTGCCAGATCTTGCCGGAAGTCGAGACGCTGCGTCGTTCAACTCCGCAACGCAAGGAGAGTGAGGGGCGGGGCGTACCATAGAGTTATTATAATGTACGCTAGAGGTTCAACTGGCACTAGTGTCTATGCGACTTCCGTGACGCAAATTGAAGCAGACAGCAACCAGTCTACTTTTCCAGTCTTCCCGTGTATTCCTATGGGAAAGCGCGCGTGCATTTTGTCTCTTCGCCAGAAAATAACACGGAACACTTTGGTTATTTGGGTCGTACCGAATAGTATTCACCTTGATTAACACTGTAAAAGTGTAATTGCTTTAGTTAGCGCATTTTTCTTCATCAGTGACCGATGTTTAACTTCGCTACATTTCAGTCCCAAACGTGTGTTCCGCAGCAGGTGTGTAAAAACAAGCGACAATTCGAAGCAAAATTACAATCGAAAGGAATGTAGAGTGTGTTCAAGGCTCGCCAGCAATCCCGTGTCGCTTATATATTGATAATATGCCAGTCCTGTCACTATATAAAAATGACCCCGTCGTGCATGAGCGGATAAAAACGTTCAAAACGTAGAGAATAAAGTCCGTGGGCTATAAAAGTTGTCTCTTCGTATTGTTTTCTCTGCCGGGCAGCTTTTATCGGGCACTTGTTCTCAGAGATTTCGAGCGTGCGAGTGATATTGTCACGGGTGGTGACCAGAATAACAATAAATAAACAGGAAGAACTAAACGTTTAATGTGGCGAACTTGTGCCAATACAAAAAGAGAATAGAAAATAATAACAAAGCGTCGCGAGCGTCGAGGTCGGCGAGACAGCAGAGTCGAGCGCTGGGGCGAAACTGACTCGACAAGGTCGCGGGCGGCCTCTTATCTAGAGTGAGTCACTATCTCGAAGATTCGGCGGAGAAGGTTCGAGCGTTGCGCGCTCGGGGCGAGAATGAACAAGCACTTTCTAGAACAACAAAAACAAGGATGAACGATAGTTATGTCTGCAGCAAGAATGAACGAGAACTTTCTACAAGTCCGTGACCCTGCGCGCGGCATTATCCCCCCCTTTAAAAAGTGCATCGTCCCGATGCAGCACAAAACGAAGAACAACAAACAAAAACAAATCCAAAACAAAAAGGCAGCAGAATCGCGAGTCGCAGTTCACAGTTCACAGTTCACCCGCCGACGAGAGTGGAAAGTTCTATCGTTCGTAATACGGCTTCAGCCG